GCATGCCAATAGGTCTTCCGTGTTCTGCAAACCATTCATTTGCAATGGACCTGGTAGTGAAGAAACGGTCCCTTAAGGCCAATAATCTTTGGCGGCGATCTTCACGGTCTGTTGTTCTACGGCGGCGTCCAGTGCCTCTTGCTCTTTGCGTACGGCCTTCTCGAAGCCATGCCTGACAACACCTAACCACAGTGTCTACACTTCTTTGCACTCTAACTGCAATTGCCCGAAAAGAAAGTCCAGCTTCCCGAAGTCCCACTATACGGCCCCTATCAAACTCACTAAGTTGACGAAATCGTACAGGTCTCCGTACTCTAGGCATCGTAACCGATCGTAAAGGATGTCAAGAACCAAAATCCGCCAACGTTGATTCTTTGCTGCGGCTGAAATATTCATTTTTAGAGCGTTAGTGAATTAAAAAAAAGCAGTATAAAAACCGGAATGTCCAACTGATAAGGCTGAAATTTTTTTCACTTGTTATTTACAGTAAGATAAATACATTCACCAACTTTTATTAAAATAAAACCATTTAAACTGGGTGTTCGGATTTATGTCACTTAGTATATTTTCAAGCTAGGAGGCATCACTGTTATATGGTTCTAAAAAAGTGGTGTTTCTGTGAATTTTGCTATTTTAATCTAACAAAGAAATACTTTATCGTTAAAGTAGAGGATAATGTGAATCTTTTTTGTTTGACAATTTTTGCCGTATCTCTAAAAGTAAAGTGGTGGGGGGTAATCAAATATTTCCGAAAAAAACACCCTGTATCTTCGATGCGGCTGAGCTGATTTTAACAAACTTGGGCTAGTTGAAAATAGCTATTCTTGGGCTACAAATGTTATAATATTTGAAGTGTTGCTGGTTTCACATGTTCACAAGCTCGCGATAATCGCATCTCGATATCTTAATCCTAACCTGAAATTTAGGGCAAAGAAAATTTCATATGTAAATCCCTTAAATTTTTATTTTTCAATCTAACTTTTCTGGAATTTCTGTTTATTCATCAGAACAAAATTACCCTTTTAATGACATATTTTTTTGTTTAAATGCATATTCAGAAAAAGACAATTAATAGCAGCAGGCCATGGTTTTAGTAATAACTTTTTTTTTTGCCGCAACAATAACAAAACCCTTAAAAGAGTCATTCCCGTTTTTTTACACATTCTTATTTATGTTATTCGTTTAAATGCCGCGTTATGATATTCAATTTCTCAGAAAATTAACTCACTCTTACCTCATTTTTTTTTACTTAAATTCATGCCTTGTGAATGTAAATGTACGTAAATGTGATAAAAATAGTTTCGCATTGTCATATCGCGATAACATTACAACAGTACGACCCTTCGGTGTACGTATCCGCGCACAAACTTGTTTACCAACCATCTACGAAATTATCGCCATTAAATTTAATTAACAGGACACGCTCGTATATCAACAAAACCAAATATTTCTCCAACCAACAGTCGTTTATCACTCGCTGATGCTGAAGGTTTACGCGAAAATGTTACAGATATTCTTTTAAGCATCAAGTGCACGCGATCGATGAGTGTCATGGGGCTTTTAGGTAGGTAGACCGATAGATACTTTATTGTTAGTTTTGATCGTTTGAAAAATTGATGTAGGATATGTCATGGCTGATACATACATAAAATTTACACTTCACTAAGCATAGAAAAACCTGGCTATGTCGTATACAGGGTGAATTCGAAGTTGAGTCATTTATTTTAACAGTGAGTAGATCTGATCAAAAGGAATGTTTTTTTCCTTTAACATTTTTGTGGTAAAATTAAAGTAACAAAGTTATAGCCCTTTGGAAGTTTGAGTACCGCCCTGTCTCAATAATAATATAATGTGCTCGTGTTTGGCAACAACGTATATAATCCGCCTTCATCGCATCGGAAACAAAAAAGCGAAAGAATTTGAAACGCTGATCACGATGTTTTTATTTAGTCAATGTGTCAGTAGTCGTAATATAAAAAGAAGAAAACTTTGAATAAAAGATTAAATATATAAATATACGCGGTGTTCGAATAATAGACGGAGATATTTTAGCGGATGGTTCCTTGTTGAAAAAAACACGAAAAAAGTTTCTATAAGCATGGGTCCGCGAATGCAGACTTTTCAACATACAGAAAATTATTAATATCTTAAAAAAATTCCTCAATTCTGTTGACATTTAGCAATATTATTTGTTGTAAATTACCACTAAATAGATTAAAATTATTGAGTCCACGGTGGTCTCGGGGACTACTTTAGCGAATATTATTGCCAAAAAATGTACGCCACGGCCTTTTTCGTAACTTTGATACTTGTTGTGCGATTAAGATTAAGACGTTTTTCGTATCTCACTTCCTTTTTGAGAAAAAAAAATAAAAACCGCTTTATTTCATGTCGCCGGACAAATAGTTATTTATTATACAAGGGAAAAAAGCACTGGATCTTAAAATGTAGTGTTTTTCCCGTGTATAATACACATTTTTTCTCTGTGACAGGAAAAACGACGATTTAATATTGAAAAATTATATTATTACAATATATAAGGCGGAAAATTATGGATGTGAAACTTGAATTTTGAAATTAGCAGGCTATGTTGTACGGAAACTTTTAAAGTAATCAAGTAATATAATATAATAATGTTGTGACTTGATTTAAAAATTTTTAACGTTTAAAAGTTATGTTTAATACTATAAAGTAAAAAATGTCTGATTCCGAGTTTTCTTTGACTCCACCAGAATTAGTAGAAGTATACTAAGTGACATATAAATCCGAACACACAGTTTAAATGGTTTTATTTTAATAAAATTTTGTATAAGTACTTAAAGAAGCATAATAAGTAAATGATAAAAATTTCAAAATGATTGCACTACTTTAAAGCCCTTTGACCTTTAATAATGTGTGGATGCACCCTGATGTGCTACGCATTCTCCAACGCGCCTAGGCATGCTTCTGATCAGGTGGTCAATGTCCTCCTGTAGTATCTCGTTCCAGGCAACCACCAACTCCTCTCGAAGTGCTTCTAGAGTCTAAGGAGGACGTTGCAAATTGAGCAATCTCCTACCCATCATATCCCACACGTGCTCAATTGGGGATAAGTCGGGAGAGCCAGGGTGTCAAGATAGGGTAAAAGATGGGGTTCTAGAACTTCGTGGATATAACGCTGCGCGTTCATGTTACCTCTGATGAAGATTAAAGGTGACCTGGAACCATAAGCTATAGCACCCCAAACCATAACTCCAAGAGTGTTATGAACATGTCTTTCAACAAAAAACTGTGGATTCCTCCTTTCACCACGTCGCCTTCTAACCCTGGCACGACCATCGTGCATGCCTAAACAAAATCGAGACTCGTCACTAAAGACAATACTGTTCCATTCCTGATCCCAGAGTGACCGTTGTCTGTACCACTCAAGGCGAATATGTCGGTATTCTCGAGTTAAAGGGAGCCAGTGTAGCCGGTATGAAAACAAGCCAAAACTTCTCATTCGTCGGTAAACACTTCGCATGCCAATAGGTCTTCCGTGTTCTGCAAACCATTCATTTGCAATGGACCTGGTAGTGGAGAAACGGTCCCTTAAGGCCAATAATCTTAGGCGGCGATCTTCACGGTCTGTTGTTCCACGGCGGCGTCCAGTGCCCCTTGCTCTTTGCGTACGGTCTTCTCGAAGCCATGCCTGACAACACCTAACCACAGTGTCTACACTTCTTTTCACTCTAATTGCAATTGCCCGAAAAGAAAGTCCAGCTTCCCGAAGTCACACTATACGGCCCCTATCAAACTCACTAAGTTGACGAAACCGTACGGGTCTCCGTACTCTAGGCATCGTAACCGATCGTAAAGGATGTCAAGAACCAAAATCCACCAACGTTAATTCTTTACTGCGGCTGAAATATTCATTTTTAGAGCGTTAGTGAATTAAAAAAAAAGCAGTATAAAAACCGGAATCTCCAACTGATAAGGCTGAAAATTTTTTCACTTGTTATTTACAGTAAGATAAATACATTCACCAACTTTTATTAAAATAAAACCATTTAAACTGGGTGTTCGGATTTATATGTCACTTAGTATACAATATTCGGGAAAAAAGTACTCAATTTTTTCCCGAAGTAATTTGATAAAAAGTGACATTTTGTTACCTGTCAACAGAGATAAAACGTCAAACTTTTTTCCCGTCACAGAAAAAAGTGCCTTGGAAAAGAAAAAATCATTTCTGCGTGGAGGTTTGACATTTGTGCGTCAATTCCCCTATAAAAGAATGATTCGCGTAATTTTCTTTGCAAAATTTGTCTACAAACTTTTTGTCTCGGTTTTTATGATGAAAAATTACACTTTTGAGAAAATGGCAGACATTTACGTAATGTACTTACAGTAACTTTTGCGCACGAAAATCCCCATGCTTACGTACAATGTCGCCACCAGGAACAATTTTCTTTAAATGTGTAAATGGGTGTTGTTGGCGACAATTTAATTGGTCCTTTCTTTTTACCCTTAAAATTAAACGGCGAATCTTACTTCGAGTTCCAACAAGAACTACCCTTACTTCAGAAGCAGTTCCTCTAAATGAACGTAACCAAATAACTGTTATGCGCGATGGAGCTCCACCTCATTTTAGTTTACCTGTCAAAACTCATCTTTGGCGAAAATTTGATTGGAAGAGACGGACCAATTCACTGGCCACCTCGCTTCCCTGACTTGAATCCAACAGACTTTTGTTTAAGGGGACACCTCGAGACGATGGTCTACGTACACTACTACCATAGAAGCAATAGAAGAATTGAGAAATAAAATCGTAAATGCTTGAAAAGAAATAAGAAATAGACCTCGAATTTTAGCTCGAGTTTGTCGTTCATCGAGTGAGAATGCGTACGGAAGTGGACATTTCCAATATTTGTTTTAACGTACTTTATGTCATGCTACCTATTGGACAAGTTGTAATACGACATTTTGCCATATTTCTCAGACTAGACAAAATCGTCAGTCCTTCAGTCACCTTTCAATTTCAGGAAGCGAGATCTCTGAAAGCCGGCGATCTAAGCCAACAGGAATCCAAAAACATGGCGCACACGAACATGAAAGTGACGACGGACACGTTCAGCAGTGAACAGAAAGCGATGGAGTCGCAAATGCAACGGCAGACGGTCACTGCGAGCGGCAACTACAAACAGGAGAAGCACAGCTCCAGCTCTAGTCACATCTTCTCCTCTTCGACCAAAGGTCTCGCGACGTCTGCTACCTCTATACTTCAGGCTGCCACCAGACAGGTATGTGGTTTATTATAAGGGTAGGACATTTAAGAAAATAATAATAATGTCTTTATTACCACATATTAAAACGGTTACAGAAAATGTTTTATACATACAGGATGTCCCAACGAAAATGAAGAGTAGTTTTATGTTTAATGTTCCATAATTTTATGCCATAACTTTTAAATACCCTGTATTTTATTGCATATTCGAATAGATCTTCTGAAGCAAAAAAGTTTCATATCATATAACATCGTTTCGATTGTCTGTTTAATTATACAGGGTGTTTCAGTTTATTGTTGCATAACTTTAAGATTCGATAGAATTTTTAAAATTAATGCATAAAGTCTATATAAACACGGGTCGAAAAATGCGTGGCTTCCGAAATACAGGGTGTTTAAATTTACTTTTTAAAATAGTTTTTTTAAAATGTTTCGAACAATATTTGATGTATAACAGTGAAAATTGGTATACAAGGGATTTTTGGTACGACAAAACGAACCATGGACATAGTTTTACTGTAGCCGCTAGAGGGCGCTCTCTACTGTACCTGTAGTATATTAAAATGACCGAAAAATTTTACTCAGTGCAATTTTTTGCTTTTTGAATAAAAAAACTGATTCTTCGTACTTTTCTGCATAAAAAAGCTCTCTTGCGAGTTTTCGTTATAGTGAGCCGTTTTTGAGATATTTCGATTTTTAAGGTTCGACGAATTTTTAATTATTTATGGGAAAATAATATTTTTTTTTTACATTTTCGATTTGGGAATTACAAGTAATTAAGATGATCGTTTAGATTGTGTTTTTAAACACAGCAATAATTCCTAACTCCAAATAAACAAAAAAAACAGAATATTAATTCATTTAATTTTCAAATGTTATTTTTAACAAATTAAATTAATTATTTACAACTAAAATGCTATTGGATAGTTATGACAAACATACAAAATCTAAGTAGTTGCTCGAAATGTAAACCCAATTGTTCAATACACAATTCACATCTACAAATGATCGAACGTGGTATAGCATTATTCAAATAAGGCCTTATTTCATCACATGCGTTCCTGATTCTGTCTATTAGCATATCTCTTGTGATTACAGGAGTCTGGTACACTTTTTCTTTTAGAAATCCCCACACAAAGAAATCTAATGGATTTAGGTCAGGGGATCGTAGAGGCCAGGCGACTGGTCGTCCACGGCCGATCCATCTTTCTGGATAATTTTCGTCCAGCCAGTTTCTAACTATTTTCGAATAATGAGCTGGACAACCATCAAGCTGGAACCAGGTCAATCTTCTTAAATCTAACATAACATAATCCCACATATTTGCATGTTCAGCCTTTAAAAATTCCAAGAAGGTCGCAGCATTTAACTTTGCAGGCAAAAGCTAGGGTCCAAATAGTCGATTACGGTAGATACCAATCCACACGTTCACACTAAGTTCATGCTGAAAATTTCTTTCCCGAACTGCATGCGGATTTTCATGCGACCAAATATGTTGATTATGAAAATTTACCACTCCACGTCTAGTGAAGCATGACTCACCGGTCCATAAAACGTTACTTAAAAACTCCCTATTATTATCAGTTCTATCAAGAATCCACTGACAAAATGTGATTCTTCGTTCTCCATCCCCTGGCTGTAGTTCTTACACAGGTTGCAAATGGTAAGGACGTCTATGGTCATTTCTAAGAACACGGTGAACATGGCTTGCTGAAATTCCCAAGGCACCAGAAACTTAAGGTCGAATCTCTATCAAACTCAGGCAGAATCATACGGGTAAATCTGCGCTGACGAACATTTATGTTTTGATCTCTTTGGAGATTTCCAAAACCATTTTCAATTATTTGGCGATGCACTCTTACAAATACTGAGCGAGTTGGATGTCGTCTGTTTGGAAATCTTCGTGCGTATTCTCTGGCTGCTTCTGCTGCATTTCCATTTACAAAGCCATACACAAAATGAATATCCGCTAACTCTTGATTGGAGAATAAAAATCGCATTTTTATAAAACCTACAAAAAAAAACAGGTAAAAGAAACTAAATTTCGATAACAAAACTAACTGTCAACTAATTGACGTTTAACCTTATTCTGCTTTCAATTTCAAAAATATTTGCAGGCACAGCCTACTTCTGAAAATTATCGAGATACTGACTTTTTAACGTTATTTTATCATAAATAATTAAAAATGCATCGAACCTTAAAAATCGAATTATCTCAAAAACGGCTAACTGTAACGAAAATTCACAATAGAGCTTTTTTATGTTGAAAAGTGCGAAGAATCAGTTTTTTTATTCAAAAAGCAAAAAATTGCACTAAGAAAAATTTTTCGGTCATTTTACTACACTACAAGTACAGTAGAGAGCGCCCTCTAGCGGCTACAGTAAAACTATGCCCATGGTTCGTTTTGTCGTACCAAAAAACCCTTGTATACCAATTTTCACTGTTATACATCAAATATTGTTCGAAATATTTAAAAAAAACTATTTTAGAAAGTAAATTGAAACACCCTGTATTTCGGAAGCCACGCATTTTTCGACCCATATTTATATAAACTTTATGCATTAATTTTAAAAGTTCTATCGAATCTTAAAGTTATGCAACAATAAACTGAAACACCCTGTATAGCGAAATGTCTGAAAAAATGCCCGACTTTGAGGGATAGGCGTTCCGTTATTTTTCAAGACATTTAGATGAATCTTAGTTCACAGAAATTTTATTTCTATCGATTTTAAGCTGATCTAGAAAAAGTGCTGAAATTTCTTTCTATTTATACAGGGTATGTCAAAACGCAAAATGTACCTTTTCTCAAAAATTTCGAATGGGACACCCTGTATATTTCTAAATTGTTAAATAGTTCTTTTGAGAACTTTTTTTTGATATGAGATTCATACAACTTTTTTCCAAACGTGTTTTTGAGTTACTGCTATTAATTTCAGGAAAAATCAAATACATCTTGTATTCGTAATCGTTAATAAATTATTCGAATATACAGGACTCATTTTCTTCTGCCATGACAGTTGTCTCCGAGCACTTTGAGAGTCAGGACAGGCATTTTCGCGAGACTTGTTTCTGTGAGTGGTGCAAGCCGAAAATGCAGCGTTTGTTAGAACAGAGGTACGCGATTAAATTCTGTGTGAAACTCGGTAAATCTGCGACAGAGACGTTTGTTATGATCAAGCAAGCTTACCCAGGTGTTGCCTTAGCAAGAAGTGGTGTGTTTCGGTGGCACCAGGCCTTTTGTGGAGGGCCGGGAAGAGGTCGCTGATGAAGACAGTGCTGGAAGACCTTTGACTTGGACAAACACCGATAATGTGACTCGTGTGCGCAAAGTTTTGAACTCAGACCGTCGACTAAGTATTCGTTTGATTGCACAGATGTTAAATTTACCAAAATCTGTGGTTCATGACATTGTGACACAGCATTTGAACATGCGCAAGGTGTGCGCGAAGATGGTCCCAAAAGTGCTCACTGACGACCGGAAATTGCGGCTAGTGGAAGTGTGCCAAGAAAATTTGAACATGTGTGGAAGTGACCCCCAATGTTTGAATCACATAATCACAGGTGACGAGTCGTGGATCTTTGAGTATGATCCCGAGACAAAGAGGCAATCTCCCGAGTGGCACACGACGGCGTCTCCTCGCCCAAAAAAGGGAAGAATGAGCAAATCCAAAGTGAAAACCATGCTCATTGTCTTATTTGACATGAAAGGCATCGTCCACCATGAATTTGTTCCTCCTAGACAAACCGTCAACGTCAAGTTTTACGTGGAAGTGCTCGGGAGACTCAAACGAAGGGTCAGTCGGGTCCGACAAGACATCGCAGCCGACAACGCCCCGGCTCACACCGCCTTTCTTGTGAACAGTTACCTGACCAAGGCCGGCATCCCAACGCTTCCGCAGCCGCCCTACAGCCCAGATGTGCCCCCCCCCGGACTTTTTTTTGTTTCCTCGCCTGAAAAGGCCTATGAAAGGCAAGCATTTTGAGACGACAGAGGGGATCCAAGCAGCATGCACCGCGGCTCTCAAGGCTATTCCGGAGAATGCCTTCCGTGACGCCTTCCATGCTTGGAAGTCGCGCTGGCAGCGCTGCATCGACGCAGAAGGAGTCTATTTTGAAAGTTTTTAAAGAATTGGCTCAATAAATTTTTTTAAATTGACTCAGTCCTATTACTTTCCGGACACACCCCGTATTACCTTGGTGCAAAACACACAGTGCGAAAAACAAATTAATACAACTTTTTCTTTTAAATAATGTCAATCATTTGGACAAATGTACTACGGCATTGAAAAAGATAGGTTATTATATAATTTTAAAAGCAGAGGTATCTACAGGTATGACTTTTTTTATGCAAAAACGTTATTTTTTCTAAAAATGTTCATTCTCTGGTGTATGCATATTTCGAGTTGTTTATTAAAAAATCATTCATACTAAAGATAGGGGTATAGTTCAAACTGTATGAGCCCAGTTAGATGTAAGCAAAACGTTTAGAAAGTCTTTTAATCGTTGAAAAAGAGCATTTTTATGATTTTCCAGACAATAAATAGCTTATTGCTCGAAAAAGACTAAGAACCTTTCTTGTTCAGAACGATCTAGAAAATGAGAAAAAAATTGTTGTCGCGAAAAAAATTGTAAAGATTCAAGAGGGGACGAGATTAAAAGAATTCTTTGACGTCTTTTCAGTTATTATCCATAACGTTTGTGCCTCACATTTTGCACACTCAATTCCATCCAGCTGGTCTAACATACCATTCTCCTGCCAGCTGTGTTTTTTTATTAGATCTTTTTTCCGCTTCATATGTCAGTGACTTTTACCGATTACTCCTCAGTAGTTCCAATGTGTCGTACAGTAAGTATTTAAAATAATTTCAGGTGATTAATTAAAGTTAGAGTACGTCTTTCTTTGATATCAAAAGTATCATTTACTAGATAGCGTCAAGTGTCAGGAAGATAGATATTAATATAAATATTTATAAACAGATACTTCCGTCTTATCAGAAAAAAATACAGATGACTGG